AAATATATAAGCTAATGGTGCATAGCATCGTGTCTTAAGGCAAATTGCTGTAATTTCCCCCACCAAAATTCAAAATATTTAAAAGCTTTAAATTTTTTTTGAAAAGCCCAGCCTAGCGGTTAAACATTATAAATCTTGGTAATTGTTTTGAATATCGAAAGTGTTTCGGATTTTAATTTTAATTTTAGCTAAAATAAACCATAGAAAAATAAACAAAATTTGTACTCAGTGGGAAGACGTGCTGTTCAGTTTTTCGCAAAGGTCGTTTCAAAGTTACGGGGCAAAAGATGCAAAAAAGTAACAAATCAGTTTTTGATGACAAATTACAATTCAATTAGTGTTGATTGGGTGAATAATTGATTACATTTTTGCGAAAGCAGGTTCAGCGGTTTCGTCGATTTGGAGAAAAAAGTGCAAAGAATAGAATTTTTGCGAAAACGAAGCATCCGATTAGAATGATTCAAATAAAATGCTTATATCGACAGTGTTTGTTAACTTCCCGAAGGAGAATTACTTTCGACAAAATTTTTTTTTTCTGAAAATCAATTATTTTGTTAAAACAAGCAAAAAGTTCTTTGAATCATTCAAATCGGACGCTGTATCTTCGAAATGGCTGGGCCTGCCTTTGCCAAAAACTAATAACCACTTTTCCCAATCATTACTAATTGAATGTTTCTTAGATCATTCAAATCGGATGCTCCGTTCTCTCAAAAACTCGATTTCTATTTTCTGCACTCTTTGCTCTTTATCTCCGTAACTGTCGAAGAAACGTCAGAGAAATGCAAAAATTTTCAATTTCGGTTTTTGGACGATTACAATAACTTACCCTACGGGAAGTTAATAAAGATATATGCAAAAAAATTCATTTTCGATTTTTTGCGATTACATACTATAACTTACCTAATGTGAAGTCAATAATACCTATAATTAATTATACGAATTCATAATTAATTGTATACCAATTACGCCTGATAACTTTTTAATACACAACTATGACTAAAATAATTACATGTAGTTTAAGAAACAAGTTAAAAACGTTTTGAAAATGGTAATTCATTTACTTTTGGTGAATATAAAACATCATCAGAAGAGTATTAAAGAGTATCTATGTAAATAAAAATATGCCAAAAAAAAGATAGAAAAAAAAAGAATAATAAATGATTGACATGAATGATTCAGAAATAATATTAATGATAAATTCATAACAGCCAATTAATATATTTGAAATATTCAAGTATATTTGCAATATTTCTAAAACGCGCAGAGAATTTCATTATAATATCTGATGTATTAATTAAAGTTATGAAGAAGGGTGAATAACATCATTACAAAGAGTAAATTTCATTTCGCGTTAAGCATATAGACAAAACCTGAGAATTAATTCATATATTGGAAGAGTCAATAATTCAGATTTAATTAATAATCTGAGATTCAGTTTATATTACAGAATAATTACTTCTAATTTCAGTAAAATTACTTGATTTTTCTTCAATGTTCACGACAATGAAAATTTAATGTTTAACAATAAGATAAGTAAAAGTTAATGCAAATGAACAGTGCGGTATGTGGTATGTAAATCATTTACATTTACAGTAAATGCAATACATCGAAAATAATTTTAATATATTAACTCAAACGTAAATAATTACTTATATGTATAAATCACGCGTACTAATAATATTTACAATTATTAAAAATAATGATTCAATAATACACCAACATGTATGTGTTCATTAGTAATTAATAACTAGTAATATATTATGAATATACATACAAGTTGGACAAAATTGTTTGTCACATTTTTCTTATGTAATGTCAAATGTAATGTTATATATATTTGTAAATCAAATGTCCCGCCATTACTATTAGTGATGTTGGCAACAGTGTTCTCCTACCATAAAACTATGTATTCGCCATCTTATATTTATGTTAAAACTATGAAAAATAACTCTGAACCGTGAAACAAGTAACATCCAAAATAAACTGAGTAATTTTAAAGGAAGCATTTTTTATTATGCCACAAGTAGTATAAAGACCAACCTCGCACAGAAGATTCTATACAAACAAATACTCATTTTCTAAAAGATGTGCACGGCGGTATGATAAAAATAATTATGCTCATTATTTGCAAGAAGGGCATTTAAGTCCACATATTTGATGTACGTCCTTGAGCATGTATAATACTATTTGTTCTAATTTTAGCAGCAATATAATTTCTCAATAACTCGCGTTAATTAGTTATTCAGAATAAATACCCGAAATTTGTTATGCTGTTTTTATTGTAATCAACAATTAGAAGATTTTTTTCGTAAATTTTGCATATCAAATTTCTAAACAAAAAGTTTCAATTGCAAATGAGATTTTAAAAAAATCAACATTTGTCGAGTAAAAATATCCAAACAAAAAAATTATAGCGCACTCACAAAAAAACAAGTGCAGCAATGTCTTCAGAGATATGACGAAATTAAGGCGGCCATAAATGTAAAGATATCAAAAACAATATTTATTTTGCGACTTATATAGCCAGTGGCGGCGCTAGACCATTCGTGGGCGTCGGCGAAATTCGTTTCGAGGCCCCCCTTTTTTCCCAGTTAAAGTTGACTAGTGGTGCACGGCATCGTGCCTCAAGGCAAATTGCTGAAACTTCCAAGGCCGTAACGTAAATTGCACAAGTTAAAATAAACAAAATCTTCGGCAAAAAAGTTCGCTCTACACATATTAAAAAAAACACGAAAATTAAATAATTATCCCGAAAAAGTTACTTTTTTGCCAAATTATTTGATTAGCTAATTTTATAATTTTTCGGCCGTTCAAGTCTTTCTGAATGAAAATGATTGGAAACCACCGATCTTCATCAATAACTCATTTATTAATTAGAATAAAAATTCAATAATCATAATAATTAGAGTGCACAAATCCGCACAATAAATTTTTATAATTATTCACTTATTGTAGTTCCATAAAATTTATGTTAGTTTAGACAGTAGTTTTTATCTCTATACAGAGTTTTTTTTAATTTTACAATTAATTACGAAGAAACTATCGTTACTAAAACCTAATTAGCACGATTGCCAACAGAAAACTTTCGAACAGTTTTTGAATTTTCAAAATCGGTTCAGAAATGTGGAAATGACGGATTTTTTAAAAATCTTTAATTTTTGTCGACGATAGCAGTGCGGATCAAGTGCGATTTAAATAATTCAAAAAACATTCGATTAGTTTTGATAAATTGGCAAAGGCAGGTACAGCGGTTTCGGAAATGCAAAAAAAGTTTAAAAGGTTATCAATTTGGTGATGCAGTTTTTCAAAGAACTTTTTCGAACTTCGTTTGTGTTGACGGCGTGAAACAATGATTAGTTTGAAATTAACAGTATTTATATTTCGCATATTTATTTCAAAATATTCAAAACAATTGTTATTTCTCATTGATCAATTTTTATTGAGTATTGATTAATTTTATTCCTCGAATATATATTTAGCTACTGTTTGTGTTTGGATACGTTAACATAACTACTCATTGGTATACCCAAATTGAATAATGATTTACATTATGCTCGCATAAGAAACACACAAATATAAACAACCAGAGAATTAACCGTCTCGTGCGAAGTTGTTTAGTGTCCATAAGAGATAAGAGAGTAAAATGACAGTGCCCGTAAACCACTAATCACCTTTTTTACTCGCACATCAGTATAAAAAAAACTAAATAAAGATGAAAAACTAAATTTTAAATAACCAAAATTTTTCCGGGGCCTCTTGCGAGGCCGCTTGAGGTGCGAGGCCGTCGGCGATCGTCGACACCGCCGACGCCTAGCGCCGCTACTGTATATAGCTTATCCTGCGGTATATCAATAATTCTTGAAGTACATGATTTTTGGATTATGTGAAGGACTTCCCTCAAAGAAAATTCAATTGAATCCCTTTCCATATAGCGCAGCTCAAATGATGTTTGTAGTAATTAGAACTATTTAGAACCTGCCAGGTTTTTATACAACGATGTATAGTGTCAAAGCGTCACACTTATAAGCACGATTTAGATGGGCCAATTCTGCCGTCAATGTTATGGCAAGTGTACGTTACTTTCCAGTTTTCAAAATCAGGCGTTTTACATAAACTGCAACTTATATGTTATCAAGCCATAACGCAAAGGTCCAGTTATAATAACATTATTTTTCGGACATTTGTGCGTTTTCTAGGTTAGGTTTTCTATCTAAAACGCCTAACTGCACAGCAACCACGTGGTTTTTGACGGTATTTAGTACGATTTTGTATGAAAACTTCTACGTAGCATAGCCTTACCATAACATTGGTCTATTTCACGGCAGAATCGGCCTCGTTTTGCTTTCGTTTACTAATTTGTGAAAAGATACTCTATAAATAAGTATGTTGAATAGAAAAATTCGCAAATTCATTTTTTCAAAAAAAATTCAAATTAAACATATAAAGTTTCTGTGCAATTTTGAAATAATATCTCACCTTTCAGACCTACTGATTAGCACGAATTTTTCAAGACTAAGACTGCCCAAATTAGTCTAGCCGTTTTCGAGTTTTAGCGGATCATTTTATCGAGCTCAATTTTTGTATATAAAAAGATATATATATATATATATATATATATATATACATACATTCATATATGTATATTGTATTTATTAGTTAACCCATAATTCAGTAAGTTATTTAAGATGTCCATAAAATGAATTATTTCGTAGCTACGTAATTTACATGTTTGAATTCAAATACTATTTAACACAACGTTAATATATGTCAACCGTCGAAAGTGTAATAAATAAAAGAATAAGCTGTACATACCAGATCGCACATGTTGAATGCATATCTTGAAGAATGAATCAGATATTACATATCATCAAAGAACATTATGTGCACCAAAACATTGACCGAAACGAAAACAGTGAATGATAAGTAAAACGAGTCTAATGCAAAGGATTGAAACGAAAAGCAATAAATAAAATAATATTTCGATTAGAATTAAGACTCACCCGACTATGTCGCATAGTTTCTCTTTGATTTCTGGCGCCAAACTGTTATCACGAGACGGGTCAACGATCAGCGTACAATTCAGTGCCCGCAGCAGCTCCACGCACAAAACCATGTCTTCATCTTCGGCTTCGGAAATTGAAGCAAATCGCTGGCGACGAAAGTATAATGAAAATAAACAGAGTAAATACATTATATCATTCGATATTTGTATTAATGCTGACTATACCAAAAACCGATTTTAATTATTTGACGTAAATATCAGTAGAAATTATCGAATAAGTGTTAAAAAATGGCATCCTAGTAACTCACCTATTCGAAAAAGAAGTTAAAAAGTGTTGACAAATAAAACTAGTTGGTATTGGTATTTTGCCTTGAGGCAAATTACATGAACATCCCGATATGTATAATAAATAATCGATTCAATCAATAAAAATAAATTAATTTATGAGTGATTAAAAGTATTCCGAGTGGATTCATTACTCTCTATCGAACAAACACACTAAACGAACGAACACTCTATCCTTATACCAAGTAAATCGTCTAATTTTAACGTCAAAAAAATTACTCATTTTTCCAAACTTTGATAAATTTTTAGAATTAAACTATTTGTCGTAAGGCCGTAATTATTCAGTAAGTTCTATTAGACCAGGATATATATATCGCCAAAAAAAGTTCCATAAAAATCGGCTTAATTTTTTTTTTCAACAGTGAATTACAAGAAAACAGCTCGATAGATTTTCAATTAAAACTAATCAGTATCATTCCCAAATGATATCTTTCGAACAGTTTTTCATTTTTGATCGATTCGGTAGTATGAGCTTAAATGTGGACGAAAAGTTTAACACCTTTTTCCAATTTACAAAGAAATGGCTCGGCCGGTCGCTGCACAAAACTGACAAAAAATAATCCACATCAAAATACATCGATTGGCTTTTAAATTTTTGAAATCGGTTCAGGCGTTTTTAAGCAAACGTCGATGAAAGTTGTAATTTTGACAAACGCCAAAAAAACGACACTATTTTTTGCAAACTTTGGCGATTTTTTTAAATTAAACGACTTGTCGTAGGACCGTAATATTTTAGTATGATCTATAAGACTATGGTATCTACCGTCCAAAAATTTTTTTAACACCTTATTACAAGAAAACGGCCCAGCCGATCTTTACCAAAAACTAATCAGGTCGATTCCCAACCAATATGTTTCGAACAGTTTTTGAATTTTCAAAATCGATTCAGAATTGCGGGCTAAAACGTGGACGAAAAATTTTTCACTTTTCTGCGATTTACATAGAAACGGCTCGGCCGATCGTCGCACAAAACTTAGAAACGCTAGTCCTCATCGGGATACATCTAATGGCTTTTAAATTTTTGAAATCGGTCCAACCATTTTTGAGAAAAAGTCGATTTACGGCAAAAAATGTGTTCACACACACACACACACACAAACACACACATATACTTTTTCCAAATTTGGTCTCATTCGATTCAGAATGGCTTGTAACGTCGAGAAAACATAAAATTAGCAATTCGGATTTTTTGATGAAAACATAAACTTCTCCTTCGGGAAGTTAAAAACACAGTTTCATAATAGAAATTTGGGTGTATGATACACTTATACATATAATTCATCGCATGTGCTTAAGTGCTTAAAGCTCCTTAATAATGTTTGTTAATATAAAAATTCAAGCAACGTATTTGTTATTTAGAAGAAAACTATTGAAACCTTCACTAACAGTCTCATCACAGTCTCAACAAAAACCCCAATGAAATCAACTTAAATATCAACACTTGAATCGCAGAATGGTTGTTTTTTGCAAATAATTTTGCATGTTAATGCTCAATATGAGCCTATAGTCATGCAACTGAAGTATACTTAGTATAATAGTGAGTATTTTGCAATAAGTACTATATTTTGTAATAATTGTAATCGTGAGAAATAAAATCTAAATTCACCCCTATTATTTATTTATTGTTAAAAACTAATGTGCCTAACATTAGAGAAAAATGTTTGAAAATTTTGAAATTTAATATTAATTTCTCAAAAGTATCAACAAATTTCTTTTTTTTTTTAATTTCATTTATAGCAACCGTAGCAAAGTTTTGAAACACAAATGTACATGAAAATTTAAATTAGCATATCAGCATAACAAAAGATTTGATGTCATATGTCAGGCAAAAGGATGGAGCGTAAGAAAAGAAAATGCAGGAGAAAGACGACACATTGAGAAATGGGCAGAAAGATAACACATTGAGAAACTATCCGATAGGGAAAATTCAATCGATGAGTAAAAGACTAAGCGCAATGCTAAAAAGGAGTTTACTCCTCTGGGATTTTGATGATACTCCAATTCAAATCTTCAATTCATGTATTAAGATGAAATCTGTCAGGGATAAGAATGTAGTATTGACTACTGCAAGCATTATTGCTGAATAGAAATCGTTTGATTCTTTGCCCCGCAAACAAAGTGCATTATAATCCACATACCCATATGTGTAAAAATTGTTTAATTACTGTATGGGGTGCAACAGAAAAATGACTTTTAGTAAGAGCTTTATATGCAATACTACTATTTACCCCGCAAACATAGTGCATTATAATCCACATACCCATATGTGTAAAAATTGTTTAATTACTGTATGGGGTGCAACAGAAAAATGACTTTTAGTAAGAGCTTTATATGCAATACTGATTTATCTAGGATATTATATCTTATATTTTTCGATCTATATGTTCTATTCAATTGTCTTCATAATTAATTTGAAAAAATTAACATCTGTTAGCTTGTTTTCTTAATTTTTGTTAATTAAACTATTAATTTTCGAAAAACCGGGACATCCGGAACAAAAAATCAAAATCTGGGACAAATATTGCTTTAAGAAAAACCCGGGACAAAAGGTGGAAATCCGGGACTGTCCCGGCCAATCCGGCACGTATGGTCACCTTACTTATCTTATATATAAAATTCTTCGGTAACAATGTAAGTTTCATTAATCCTCCTAAACTATAATTCGGATTTTCATGAATCTTCCTGAAGTTTGTTCGGGAATTATCATTGTTTGCCCTTGAAAATATTTAAGGCATAGTTTGACATTAAAAACCAAAAGACGACTGTCATTTGCCAAACATTTCCATATACTTATAGGCTAAGACAATATTAAAATATAATATATTTATGATCATGAATAAGAAAAATGTAAGGACTACATTATTATTGCCAAAAACAACCTGAGATGTGCTAAAAATTAAAACAATATAAGATTTAGTATAAGATACAGTCAACATCTGACAGGTGATGCAGTCTGCGCATGCGTCTGTCAGTGATCGCACATAAAACTTAGCCTTCAATTCATTTTGACTAATTATTATTTTTTAACTTTTAAATGCAGTCGTATTTTGCCTTACTTTACGAAATCACGATACAAAAATAATTTATTTATTCAAACAATTATTTAGAAGCTTCATTGTGTCAAAAATTCATATGTTTGGCATTGGATACGAAATATTTACTCAAGACAATGGAGCATCTTGGGTCTGAATATTTTTAATGTGCTCCAATTTGCATGAAATTTTGGAATTAGGTTCATCTTACTCTCAAGATTAAAAGTAAAAATAATTTAGAATCATTTGCCACTTCCCGGGGGGATGACATCTCTTTTCAGTGGTTTAATTGTATCTCTTTCAAACTAACGTCGGATATCGATAAAAGAACTAATTAGAATAAAAAAATCTTTAATAATGTATTTTCAAAAAAGAAATTACTTTTCAAGTTACTGGCTACTAAAAATTTGTTGTTTTTTGCGTTTTTCATCGTTTTTGGCAATTATCTCTAATAATATACATTTAAACGAAAATCATGTAATGAACAAAATTATATCAATCAAAATCCTAATAAATCGGTGTTCTATAAATTGTTCTAAGAACAATATTAAGCTAGATATGAAAATGGGGTTTTATAGTACTCAAAATAAGCTTTAAAATTAGTACTTCTGCGTGTAAGATGAGTGAGCTATCATGCAGATAAAAGACGCATACAATATTTTCTTCGTTTAAAGCAAATAGTTTTTGAGTGCCATTTCCACCAAAATTAAAAATAATCGTATTCCCTCTGGAATCAACTTGGTTTAAAAGATCTTGACGGATTCTACAAAATACCATAACTTTAGTGCAAAGGATTTCCAAAAAGCTCATGATTTCATGAAAAAAAATCTATTTAAAAAAATACAAGATACGTATAAAGGTATACGAGGTCTGTTCAAAAAGTACCCGGAATTACTAATAATTAAATTTCGCGGGTCTGGAGTGTCTGATTGTCAAAATTTTTTTTTTATTGTGTTGGTATACATACCCCTAAAGTATGATGAAATTTTCAGCTATATTCACTGTTTACTTTGTCTGTGGTAGTCGCTAAGGTTCGACGTGTTTTTCTGAGCTCGGCGATTTTTACAATGGAAGAATTGAAAAGTCAAAGAATTTGTATTAAATTTTGCGTAAAAAATGAAATAAAGTGTTGCAAAGTGCAAAAATTCACCAGTAATGGCTCCGTGTGACTTTTTCCTATTCCCAAAGTTGAAGAGACCCATGAAAGGACGGCGGTTTTCCTCGATTGAAGAAAATCGCTGAGAGTGCTCAAGGACATATCAAAAAGTGAATATCAAGGGTGCTTCGAAAATTGGAAAAAACGCTGGCATAAGTGTATTATATCTGGGGGGGACTACTTTGAAGGGGACCACATTAATGTAGACGAATAAATAAATATTTTTTTGAAAAAACGAAAATTCCGGGTACTTTTTGAACAGACCATGTATAAATGAAAATTCAAGGTCTTTTACTGACCAATTATTGCTTTTTATTATTTTTCTGTTACACAAATATTGATAGTGTACAACCAGAATGTCTTTCGAGTCCTTCAATCCTTTGCCATTTCAAAATAAGAGAAGTTACGGTAAAATTTGTGATAGAGAAAGTTGTAGCTCATTTAATTACCTTTAAAATAGTGTATTGCAAGTATTGATAAAATCAGAATTAAAAGAGTTATAATTCAATCAATCCGGTGGGTGGTGACGGAGTGCAAATTGTTTTCACTTCGGAATTTAAAATTAAGATTAGCCTATTTCCGACACACGGTTTTTTCCTCTCCATTTACTGCAA